TTTCGGGAGACACTTCATCATCCCTGGAATTTTGGTTCCATTCTTTTTAATGCTAACATTAGGAGTGGCCATTTGTGTTAAGGTGCGTAATCATAGAAAGCGTTTTTCGACTTTCTTCTCCGTAAAAATTCGATTCGGAAACGACGTAAAGACCGCAAGGACAATTGGTGTAACAGTGTTGGCGTATTTCTGTATGAATGTGATACCAATGTTATTACACAACATAGTGAGAAGCCATGGTAGCTGGTCTCACTTCCTCGCATTCTTTCTCATGAAACTGAACTGCATGGTGAATCCTATCATTTATGCTTTGAAGACTCCAAGGTAAGTTCAGTCTGTGAGGTATGGGGTTAAAAGTTGGCTTTAGGAATTTTAGGAAGACATGTAATTCTTATCCTTACAGAGACTCATGCAAGGTTAAATATTTTCGTCAAACTGTGTACCAGCATTGACGAATCCTGTTTTGGCATAAGCGGAGGAGGACAGCTCTATTCCAAACTGTCCTTTTTTTTTCTAAATTTATGGCTGCACTAGGTGTTCTAAATAAAAGTCGCACCACTTTTAAAAAAGGTATACAACAAACTTATAAATGGTGCCCTCTCGAAACGGCCTGGTTTTGAATACAAGAAAACTAGGTCCGAAAGGCCACTCAACGAAAGGGCAACTTTATTTAATTATCGAGTTGCTTTTTACGGTAATTCAAACCCAAAATATTGGCCTTCTTTAGTTTATTATCGCTTATGGTAGAATATCCGGGAGACTATAGGAAAGTCTTGGAATTTTGAAACCTCGTAACTAGTCTTTTCTTGTGAAAAACAACTCAGAAATGCGAACACATTGCTGTGTTCCTCTGTGTACGAAGAAGGGATGTCGAGTCGAAGTAACTGATGCCAATATTTCTTACTTCCGATTTCCACCCGAAGAAAACCTGAGAAAACAGTGGATTCACCCGATAAGAAGGGGTTTGGGGAAGAATTTCTCTATATTAAATTCAACCAAGATTTTCTCAAGGCATTTTATGGCTGAAGATTTCAAGACTACTCTAACGCATGTGGCGTCTTTAAAAGCGGGAGTAGTGCCTTCAATTTCTGCGTGGAAACAAATTTCTCCACGAAAACGACCTCCACCTACTCCAAATAGGATAGAAATTTTGATTTAGAAGCTACAGGAAGAAAGTCTGGAAAGTGTATGAACTTTTATCGTAAATATGTAAATATTGTTTCAATTGGACATAAACATCTTTTCGAGCGAACTGCGAGGGATGATCTAATTTGTTTCATAATTTATATGCATGCACGGAGATGTTGATGAGATTGGTGATGCTAATTTCTGTTATCTTAGGCCATCTTGTTTTAGTCACTATCACTGTCCATTGCCATGTAATTATTATTATATGTAATTACAAGAACTAAACAGTTCACTTTTTAAAAGAAGACTACTTGGCATATTTTGCCAAGTTTTAAGAAAATGAATTTGATCCATGTGATAAAAATTCGACTGACAGTCGACTGAGAAATATGAAATAAGTTGGCTAAATATTGTTCAGCAAAACCTTATCTGGGTCTACAGATTGTGAGAAAAAAACTCATCTAATGGTTGTAAAATCTTGGCCTTCCCTGTTTCCTTAATTTCTCACTATCACTATTAGACTTGAAAGTCTCTTTACCAGGTAACCAATAATTGATATTTTCTCCATTACAACAGGGGTCCAGGATTTCAAATAAAGCCATCATCGTTTGGAAGTTTGGAAAAACAGCGTAAAATATTAGAAGTGAAGAGTTTGTTTTGATATTTTCAAGTGAAAACAATAGAGTTTTCATTTTTCTTCCAGCAACGAAACCTCTTCCTCCAATTTCTTGTTTTTGGTTAACAATTCAGCAATCTGGTCTTTTAGTTCACAAATTTTGGTATCTTTTACGGATTGACGCTCGGTGAAATAAGAGTCCGGTTCTGTCACCAAAGGTTCTAAATCAATTGCTGTTGTTGTCGATGAAGATGAAGATATCGCACTTGGAATTACGATAGAAGTTTCTACAGTTTCCAGACTTTCTTCCTGTAGCTTCTCAATCAAAATGTCTTTCCTATTTGTTTCCACGCAGAATTTGAAGGCCCTACTCCTGGTTTAAAGAGTGGTCTTGAAATCTTCAGCCTTAAAAAGCTTTAAGCAAACCTTGATTGAATCTGATAAAGAGAAATTCTTCCCCTTGTTCCTGCTTTTTTCGTGTAGTATATCCTTCAACTTCTAAACTGATAACGTACAGTAGTAGGGGCTTATAATCCAACGATGGAAACAATTTGTTCACTTATATGTCAACAGGTTCCGCAGAGCTCTGGCACTCTTACTGAAAGAACCACATGGCCAATCAGAACCCAATATGAACTCAATATGAACTCGACAGCTGGTTGGAACTTAGCCCCGTTCACAAGAGTCTGCTGGACTACACCTAAGAAACAATCAGTAGAGTCGTTTGTCTAACTATTTAATCACTTGCCTCACTTTTGTAGCATTTACAGATGTGCAAGAGCTACTCTACTCACATGGAAAAGGAAGCTTAATTTTTATGGATTTTGTGCTAGTTTAGGAAATAATTTGATTAGTCTTTGCTACGTGATAATCAGAAAAAGTCAGTCAAGTCCTGTAGCTAAGATGGTTCAAGACGGACGAATGTGACATCGAGGAAACAAAACTTTAAATTTCAATGTGGTGAATTTCCCAACCCTCGTAATGTTTTGCTGAAAGCTGAAACATGCCGGTACCCTCCAAATGTTTTTTCATCAACGTTGACCAGGGAGGGGGGGAGGGGAGAAAATTGCTTCCACAATTGCGATAAGGATTTTAGCTGTTCGTCTTCTTTGCAAAGAAGCAATTAGTTTTACTGTTACATTGAAATAGAAGAGAGACAACAAGGTTAATTAAAATTGATAATGAGTAATAGTAATAACAATAATGGCACATCGCAACCAACCCAAAATGTTTTTAATAAAGTTCCCTCAAGGATAAGGAGTGAGAAGATAAGAAACATTGCTTGTGATCTAACCTACATAAGAATAATTCAGCCACATAAAACTAGCCACTAGCAGTTGAATTTTACGCATACATGTAAGCTAGCTGCGGGTGTATTAAAAGGTTAACTACTCTATATTTGAATATAGAGCGAATGTTAAAGGAGAGATAATTCTAGACATGAGCAATTTAATGAACAAGGATAAAATCTAAAACATTGTGGAGGTAAGTTCCTCTTTAATAAAATCTCATTTTGATGCCGTAGAGAGAGGATCTCTCGTTTCATGGACTGCCGTCAAATTCTTAAAGTCTTCTCCCTTGTTTGAATCACGGAAATGAAAAGAGATCGCGATCTTTCAAAGGCAATCGCCATATCAAAATCTCCAGCGAACACTTTACTTTGGATGATTTTATTAATCAACACTCCAGTAAAAAAAGATCGAAGGCCAATGCAGTTCCTTCGATGTTTCCGTGGAATAAAGAGAAACAGAAGAAGGTTCAACCGGTGAAGAGGTCTGCTTTAGAAAAGCTGGATCAAGGCAGAGCCAAAGAAGAAGCAACGGATACGGTAGTAATGGTAGTATCTTTATTTACACTCGATAAAAAATCTTCAGTAAAAACAGTAGCGTCCAGATCTATCTATTTACAAAATTACATTGGTTAAAATTATCAAAATACTGTACAAGATTGCCGAGTGAGAATCCCAATGACTCAAATACACAGTTAATTCGCTTTTTAAATTCACCTATTGACCTGATTTCTCAGACGTTCTCAGGTGATGAGTTCACATAAGAGAACCGCTGTAGCTTTGGGATTTAATTAGCATGTTGACGAAATTTGTAGAAAGGTATCTTCCGCAATAGGTTTTTTTAGACGTATCAGGCCTCTAACCTCCGAATCTAATGCCATACCAGTTAACAACACCCAGATCCAACCTCAATTTGATGACTGTACTTTCGTTTGGGACATGTTATGTAATCAATTGAGCAATTAACTACAAAAATTACAGAACCGAGAAGCCAGAGCAATTT